GGACATCCTTAAGGAAAGTGACAATGTAAGATCATTCTTAACTTCAAAGGGTCACATTCTGTGTCAGAAGCAGAGACCCTCTCTTGGGGATCGCCCTCCTGAGCTAAAAATGCTATCTGCCAGATTGTGTATTGGGAATGCCCTTGACCATGGCTAAGATTCTTTTGCCACAAATCACTGCTTTCCCTGGTTATATGAACAGTGAAATTCCTGGGGAGCAAGCATTTCTTGAACGGTGCATAGACTTGAGGGAGGTGGCTGCTGCATAAAGCCCTGGTGGGAATATTCGTCTGCACAACATCATTTGAGAAGAATTAAATGTGAGCAGGGAACAGAAAAAGTGACAAAATGATTTAGGGGGTTGCAGTCCCAAAGAAGCTCAAACTTAAGATGCAGATGGATTCATAGCTCCCTAAATTGTCTGTAAAGGCAAGGCAGGCTTGTGACAATAGTCAGCTGACTTCTTATTCTAGCAGAAAGTATGACAAGATCCAGGGTCTAAGTGCAGTACAGCAAGACATTTAAACCAGAACAGAGGCATCACCACTTACAGTTAGGATAAATAGCCATCAGGCCAGTGTGCCAATTGTATGCTGCTAACTTGGGTTCAGAGGACTTTCTAGATGAGCCTCAATGGCTTGAACACAGGAAAGGCCTGATTAAAGAATTGCTGTGTGACACTGTGGCTTCTGCTCCCTGGGTCAGACCAAATGACCTACTGGCTTGGAACAATTTATTTAGCTGTTTCTACAATGTTTACAAGGAGCACCTGGGTGCAGCCAGGGTTTGGAGCCCTGCCTCATCCTGTGAGTGTGGGCAGTAGCTCTGCTGCCTGCCCTCACCCTCAGCATAGCCATTCAAAAACTGGATGTGTTTTTTCTTCTCTCATAGAAGTATTGCTTTGAATGCAGAAGGAATGTTTTTCTTCCCTTCTCCTCTCTGCTCTCCATTACGGAAGGAGCCAGGAAACGTTTGTCTGATCTGCGATGGGATAGGAGTTGGTTACCAGCCCCTTCGTGTGAACAGCAGTGAAAGGCTAGTCTGAGTGTTGCTGTCCCTCTGCTCAGCCCAATGCTTGTCTAAGGTGCTCTCAAGCCTCTTACAGCAAACTTCTGCTTTCTGTAACTCCATAGAGACTGGTTTCAGCCATCACAGAATTACTGCTTTGCCCCTCTTCTCTCCCTTGTACACGTGCATGCAATTTCTCTCCCATTTCCAGTTTATCTTTTGAAAACAACCCCTTGATCCTCCTTTGTCAAACGGCTGTAAAGGGATGCTGCTGCTTGCTTGTTGAGAAGCTTTGGACTGCTTGGGAATCTGATTCTGGCATTGCCAGTGAGATACTGAAGAAACCCGAACAGCGGCTTCTTTTTCCCTCAGGAAATTAAGAGGCAGAGGAGTCTGCCAGTGACTATAGTTTTAATGTTTTCATATTGTAATGAACTTGATGAGAGCAGGTGTTTATTCATGCGGCTGGTGGCTAGTATGTTAGCTGCTGTTTGATTTCACACATTGTAATGGCAGGGGGAAACAGAGGAGCTGCTGCTACACTCTTAATTTGGGCAATGGTGGCAGAGCAATTCTTGTTGGATTTGTCCCTCATGCTTTTCATCCTTCATTTGAGGCACAGTTGAGATGGCATATCTCTCACCCCTGAAAAACAGGAACAGTGTCCTCCTGCATGATCAGGGATTTGGGTCCTTGCAGGGCTTTAAACTGCAGTTTGATTTTTTTTTTTTTTTTTTGAAAGTGTAGATGTTAATGGGGAATCTGTTGGAAGCCCACAAAGGATTTGCAGGTTTTATTTCTCTGATTCCCTATTATGTAACTTAAAATGTTCAGCTGTTGGACAGGTGTATGTTAATTTGAGAGGTCAAACTCTGTCATGTGCCTTTCCAGCAGTAATGAGCATTCTGTAGCTGCAGCTTGGTTAGCAGTCAAGTTTATTTTTTATATGAAATTGATAATGTATTTTCTCTGATACAGTGCTTAGCTTTAGAGGACTGAGAGCCAAAAAAAGTCAAACACACTTTTTCTAACATATATTTTCGTAGAGCCCAACGTAACTCAGTAACTGAAGATTAGATCTGTGCAGTAAACAGGTGTCACTTTTACACAGTTATTCTTCTGATTTTAATAGTATTTAAAAATCTTGCTAGTATGGTAGTACGATTAGAATGAGGTTGAATTTCAGGTAGAAGATTTAAATGGGATTTAGAAACAAAAACTCAAACCTAAGATAATTGGAAAAATTTAAAGTAAAACCACGAATTTTCAAGATTCCTTACTGTAGGTGCTCCTGAATAGTTGACACTTTTTACAGAGTTTGTGTTTACACACAGTGTTTAGAAATGGTACTGGATCAGCTATTGCCTTTACATTTTTTCAATGCCATATCAGTGTTATGTAACTGATGAAAAGTATACCAGTTTTTTTTCCCAGCCTTTAAGCTGCAAACTCTGGGCTGTAGGCCACTATTGTTATGGCACCTAAATACGCTGAGACCTGGTCAGGTGTCATGGTGAAAGGTAGCATCTCGCAACATGAAGACATTCAGAAAAGCCAATTGCAGTGATTTTTGAGGATTCTGAAGTGTCTGTTCTTCATGGATAGTTTTTTAAGGCCTGAGATTTCATTGCTGCTATTATCTGTAGTAGGGAAGTCCTTCGGTGCTGCAGTAGAACATGTTGTTGTTGTGAAAGTGCTGTCAATCTGAGATTTATTTCTTTGTGTTTTTTTTTTTTTTTAAATGGTGGCAGAGGGAAGAAAGGGCCATGGGATACCAATCCAAGAAAGACCAGCATTCATTAGCTTAGTTATTTACAAAATTACTTCGCTTTTATGGATGTAATGTGCTTGGCTTGCATAAATGAGTGCATGTAATTGGTGGCTCTCCATTGAGATGAGTCGCATAACATGCTCTTAGTTAATGCATCTATTCTAAATTTATGTCAATAAATCTTTTGGACTCCTCTACCATGTACTTTATTTTCTGAAGGCTTGGCTGAAGTACTATCAAGTCACTAACACTTGAATTTTTTCAAATGCTGGGTACACTGGATTTTTTTCTGTAATGTAACATGGAATGGTCTTGCCCTATGAATTGAAGACCCTGTCATGGAATTTAGCTTCATCTCTGGGTAAGATTTTTACAGTTAATGCTCAGATGTAAAGACAGCTTCTTGTGCTGTTGGGAATGCAATAATGTGTGTGTAATCAGCGAAGATAAACACTAAGCACAGAAACCTGAGCCGTTCCATCACACTTGTTTTGAATGTGCAATTGATTAGATTGAGCAACAAGAAATATTTTGCAACTTGGTTATTGCTAATTATATTCATAGTGCTTTTGAGTAATTTGCAATCAATTTTGTGGTGTATTGAGAGAATAAAAATGAAAGTGTGCAGATATCAGTGACAGTGACTTTAGTAACACGGGTACATGAAAGTATTGTTGATTTTGGCTGCTAAAAACTGAATTTGCTTGAGGCAAAATGATTGCTTTGCACTTTAGTAAAACCCAAGATAAACACGTGGTACCGTGTTATAATTGCTCTTAGATCATGTTTTATGTGATACTCTAAGCCTTTTAAAAAGACTGCTGTTAAGTCTCTGAACAAACGCTGCTACCTTAGGGAATCAGAGCCAGCTGTCAGCAAGGGGGAATGACTGTTCTAGCTCTGAAGGATCCCTAATGAAGGGAATGGCGCAAACACCCTGTCACTCCTCTGTGTGGAGAGGACTGGAACGGGAAATCAGCTTCAATGAACTTGCTTGGAAAAAAAGAGAGAATGGACAGAATTCAATTTACAAGTACAATAAAAAGGCAGTTTCTGAAGTGATCTCATTTCATGACTTTTTCAGAAATGTATTGAAGAAGCCATCTCTAGCTTATAGTAATGTAGGCATTTCTATACCATTTCAAGGTGCTGGAAGTACTGATGTGAACACTCAACCACAACTGAAAGTGTGGCTAGAATCCTAGAAAGAATTTTGGAAACTGTTAGTATTTCCACAGATGCCTGTATGATGATCATTTACTTGTGTCTCAAGGGAAATGAAAAGGCATGCTCAATTTCATGCAAATGCTTGATCACTCTTTGAAAGCTGAGGCGAAGGCTGTAATTAAATTTATTAAGCTGGATGAAACTATAGTGCCACTGAAATAATATCTGCATAGCTGTTACTAAGACCAATCAGCTAGATCAGGATTTATCTATTCTCGCTTTAGAGGTCCACATCTGAACTAGTCATTCTGGTGTCCTTCTGTGGCGAAGGAAGGAACTGGGCAACTCTAGATGTTCAGTTCAGATTTAGAGCTTTAAAGTTAAGCAAGGTGCATATTATGCTGTGTACCTTTTGGCTCATTAGAGTCTTCATCAAATGTTCTTAAGTCCTTGTCAATACATGAAGAGCAAGCATGTTGGATCTTGCTCGTACTGCCTAGGTTGACATAGGAACAGGAGAGAGCTTAAATCTATCTGGAGAGGGTTTGTTAACATAACAAGTCTGTGTTGCATTTTTCTGAACACAGTGCTCTCGAAAGGCCCACAGAATGCTGTTCTCAAGCAGTGGCTGTGGAATTGGGCCAGGGTGGCCTTTTCTTATCCCAGCTGAGAGGCAGTGGGACAACTATTTAATCATAAATAGTAAATGGGATTTAGCAGAGGGTGGAATGAGCTGAGACACAACTGCTGCATCCCCAAACTGAAGTGTTCTCAGCGGACTACTTGTAACTTCTTTTGCCTCCTGAATTGCGGCTAAAGAAGTTGGAGTAGGAGAAATAACCTTTCTTTGGGGAGGGAGGTGAGGGGAGAAAGAAAAAATAATGATATCAAAGATACTCTGATATCGTTGTGTGACCTTGAGTGACCTTCTCACTCTGAAGCATGTGTTTGTGATGTGTCTGGGTTGGGACTTCCACTAAGATGCTGGATTATAATAAACGTGGTGGGTGATAGAGTGAGAAATGAAATGCCTGCTCTTTGTTTTATTAAACAGGTGCAGTGCCATACCTACACTGGATACTGCTGGTGTGTGACACCTGATGGCAAGCCTATTAGCGGCTCTTCTGTACAGAACAAAACTCCTGTATGTTCAGGTACTGTGGGAGTGGCTTCAACAAATACTAATTTGATAACTGAAGGGGCTGGGGAGAACACGTCCTGTTCAGAGTGCTTAATCTTTTCAGGTGACTTGGCCAGTTTGCCTGATTTAACTCTGCCGTTGTGCTTGTATCGCCCTATGTGCTTGCTGGCATTTGGGAGCTGCAAGAGAGCTTGGACTGTGGCATGCCCACCCTGCAGTTAGGATACAGACACTCCTGTAAGGCTCACTGAGCAAAACCACTAAGGTAACAGCCTGTGGTAGCCAAGGCAAGAGTCTCAGTGTTCCTGTGTACACCAAAATCAGAGATTCCTGTAACAGATGGGATAACTTTTTTCCATGAGCTGTATTTTAAAAGAAGTCATTCTTGGGCTGTATTGGGTAGGCCATGGAGTTGTCTTGCCTGCAGCGTGACTTCAGTTAAAAGTTTGGTAAGGTGGTTCTGTGAGAAACTGGTAGTTGTTGACTACTAGCCCCTAAATCTGGGGTCCTGCTGTTATAATGGATTTGGGTCTTCTGATCGTGTTGCTTAGTTCCAGGACCCCTGTGTTTGTGTCATGGGCCGGACAGCACTGGGCTTGCACCGTAGCTCACGAGAGGGAGGTCCAGAGCCAGGCTGTTACTCATGGGTTTATTAAGTGACATGCTTCTGGGCTCTCAGCCTGACACTGTTCTGTCACCCTATGGTTTACTGTGCCCAAATCCATCATTTTCTGTACTTAAAACAGTGATGTTGTTTGTTTTATTCTCCCCACCATTCAGTATGGCAGCCCACAGCTCAAATGGGATGAGGTTGGGCTCTGGATTTTGATATGGCCCTGCAGTCTTTGCCCTTCAGATGCGAGCAAGACAGCAGTCAAACTTTTTGGTTTTTTAATCCTCGCTTTATTCAGTGTCCTCTTGGCTGTAGGGTGTTTTGTGGTAATAAGCAAACATAGTGACTTGCATGAGGGTTTGAGTTGAGTGGGAGAACTGTCTGGGAACCAGTGAGTCAATGTAGCTTGAGGACATGCTTGGTGTTTCACAGGTACATGGAAAGAAAATAAGATTAATATCCTGTTTTTGTGTAAGGTGAAATGCTACAGTAATTTGGCTTAAACCTTAGAATATGACTTTGTGCCACCATTACCAGTATATGGTTTTGGTAGGGCATGTTTTAGAGTTTTGCTGATCTGTTCATTTTGTCTTGAGCTGTTTACTTTCCAGGTAACACAAATTTATAAATTCATGGTGTATTGTAGGACACACAGATGTTAGGCCTATGATGACTAATATTGGGTATGTGCTTCCTACTTGTAATTCAGCAGTAGATCTGTGATGAACTGATCTGCAAGTGAAAGTGCCTGGGCAATAGACTTTATGTTATGAGTTTATCTTGACCAGACTCTTGGGCCTGACTCCTTTGGAACTGACTTATGATCCATGTTTCCTGAAGGATCAGTGATCACTGGAACCATTTAGTAATGGTGCACAGAAGAATCAGTTTCCTGGGAATAAAGCTATTCCAAAAAAAAACCCCAAAAACCAACCTGTCATAGATTTTTATACACTTTGGTAATGGACTTGTTCAAAAAGATTTCATTATCAGTTCAAGTTTTAGTGGAAAACTGTGATGAAGCACTAAAGCAAACTGCAGAAGTGTAGAATCATTTATATTATGTGACGATCTAAGTTATGCTAAAAACCCCAAGATGTGTTCTATTCAAGTACACGCTGGATCTTATTCAGTGTCCCTTTTCAAACAGCTGGGGATGTTCAGGGGTTGCTTGAAATCCATTTTCTGCAAATTGTCCCACTTAATCCCTTTCCTTTAGAATACTGCCGCTTGCATTCCCTGCACACTCTCCCCACCTGGTTTTGATTTGTTCTTCCTGACATTTGCAAATGAAAGTGACTCTTACTGATCTTTCCTCCTTGCCCTTGCATTTATTCCAGGTTTCTTACTAACACACTGCTCTGTTGAGCTCTTTCAAATCACTGGATCCAGCTACTAAAGGTTTCTTGTTTACCCTCATCCTGATTTAACATCTTAATGCATAAAACTTCCTTATGCTACCCCAGTTGGTTGAAGCCACAGGCTCTCTGACTCCTAAACTGAGCTGTTGGCAAGTAAAACAGACACTTTGTGGGTTGATATATTGACTGTATTAATGTGATATTTCATGTTCTGTGTGATCATGCAGATGTCTGTCTGTCTTTTTCCTTCCCTTTAGGTTCTGTAACTGATAAACCATCAAGCCAGGGTAATTCAGGAAGGAAAGGTGAGTGGAGTCCTGTGCTTCAGCAACTTGTTTTGTAACAGCAGCTGCCTAGCCAAGTCCCTTGAGAAAACTCAGAACCCAGGTTCCTAACCAGCTTGGTGTGTGGGAGGCTTATGTGCCTTTAGATGTCCCCCTTCAGGAGGAGGAATAAGATGACAGTCTGTCTGTGCACTACCCTGTGGAGCAGAAAATGGTGTGCTCTGCTATGTGCTCGTCAGCTGAGATGTAGTACATGAAAGCAGAGCTTCCCAAAGCGGTGGCTGGCACAGAATAACCTCTGCTCATTCACCCTGAGGTTAACTACTGAGCATTTCTCAGTAAAATCCCTAGAGATTAGGAGGACTATCAATATGCCTAGTACACTGTGAGTCAGGAGTGCCAATGTCATGGTTGTGGCTTTATATGCATTGAAAGGTGGGGTTTTTAACAGAGCATAAAACCTTCTGGCCAGCTGGAGCAGCACTGGATTAAACCCTAGCTGTGCTTAGAAATCTCACTCTTTAGTGAATTAAGCATTGTTGGTCCTTCTTTACACTCCTTTCTTCAGTCCTTGCCTTTCCAGAGCAAGGCACTAGATATGGTGTTCTCCTCCTGTGTGTATTCGTAGCCCTTCTCTGTGTCCTTTGGTTTGCATTCATTGAAATAGTCTTGGGATGGGTGACCACTGAAGTATGCCTTGATGAGCAGTCAAATTTGTCTTTAGGCCTTCTCCACACCCTGATTTTCAACGCTTCTCCCCTCTGCCCCCCGTTCAGAGCCAACTTTTGAGTTTGTCTCCTTACTACAAGAAAAGAGGGATGAATGCATCCTCACTCCTGCTGGTGAGGATGAAGGCTGTTTCCTGGGAAAAGTTCCTGTTTTGATATCTGAAGCAGGATTTTTACTGCTAACGCTCTAAACCAATTATTCCTGACACTTCCAAACTCATGAAAATGCCTACCTTGATGCCAGCACTTTAATTTGAAGAACATCTTCCATGTTGGGACTGTCTGCTGACTGTCTGTTGACACCAAGCTGAGTGGTGCAGTTGACACACCTGAGGGACGGGATGCCCAGAGGGACCTGGACAAGCTGGAGAAATAGGCCTGTGTGAACCTCATGAGGTTCAACAAGGACAAGTGCAAGGTCCTGCACCTGGGTCAGGGCAATCCCTGGTATCAATACAGGCTGGGGGATGAAGGAGAGCAGCCCTGCCAACAAGGACAGGACGGTAGGGTACTGGCAAGGAAGGCAACTCTGCCCCTCTACTCTGCTCTGGTGTGACCCCACCTGGAGTACTGCATTCAGCTCTGGGGTCCTCAGCACAGGAAGGACATGGACCTGTTGGAGAGGGTCCAGAGGAGGGCCACAAAAATGATCAGAGGGATGGAGCACCTCTGCTATGAGGAAAGGCTGAGAGAGCTGGGGTTGTTCAGCCTGGAGAAGAGAAGGCTGCGGGGAGACCTTATTGCAGCCTTTCAGTACTTAAAGGGGGCCTAAGAGAAAGATGGCGACAGACTTTTTAACAGGGCCAATAGCGATAGGACAAGGGGTAATGGGTTTTAAACTAAAAGAGGGTAGATCCAGGCTAGATATAAAGAAGAAATTTTTTACAGTGAGGGCAGTGCAACACTGGACGGGTTGCCCAGAGAGGTGGTAGATGCCCCATCCCTGGAAACATCCAAGGTCAGGCTGGATGGGGCTCTGAGCAATCTGATCGAGTTGTAGATGACCCTGCCAATTGCAGGGGGGTTGGACTAGATAACCTTTAAAGGTCCCTTCCAACCCAAAGCATTCTATGATTCCAAGACTGTCAAACCAGTCCTGAAAATACTTAACAGGAATTATAGATTGCTATTTTCAGAGCAGTGATGCATTTTGAGCGTATCTGCTCTCCAGTCTATTGGTTGTGTATAGTAACTTAGGAAAAGGTAGGGAGAAGAAAGATGCAAGGAAAACTACTTAGTTAAGACTGAATGCTGAAGCCTGCTTCTTATTTTAGATAACGATATGTCCCTGTAAACCTGTAATTACTTGTTAATGTATAATTGGCACCTGAATGCATTGTTATCATTCTGTTAATGCAATCATTGCTAGTCTAGCCTGAAGTGCAAACAAATAAAGTAGCTCTTGAAATCTGCATTATTTCTGAGTGGGGTTTTTTTGTAGGCTTCTTTCCTGAGTAGTCCTGGTCTCTTCTTCTAGAATAAGAAGCAGCTGACATTGGATTTCATACGAAACAGGAGCAAAAGCGGAAAAAATCTGAACTTGTTTTTCCCATTTCACTCCCTTTATTAACTCAGAGGTTGGAACATGCAAAAAAAGAGAACGGCAAATGAATGAATTAATCTAAAATTTGTAATATTAATTGATTCTCGTTGGTCCTGCCTGTGGCATCCTGTTTCAAGAATGGTATGCTTGGTCACGTGGCTGCAGAAACATCCTATGCAGTAGCTGTCAAGAAAAGGAAAATGTTTCCCTTTGGGCCAGCATGCTTCAAGCAATCATGTAAACTTTCTGTCCCCTCCGATTCTGAACTGTTCATATCTGTTGGAAGCCCCTGCACAAGCCACTTTGGCCTTTTTCCATCATGTTAGAAAAATACTTGTGAGGAATTATTAAATAGGTCTTTTAAAATCAAGAGGGCTTTTAGAAGCGGAAATGATTTGGGTTCAAATTTGATGGACTTAGCATTACTTTTTCAGCTAGTGATGAATACCTAATCTAAAAATGAATTTGGCTGTCTTATCAGTGTTTTTTCTTGTCTTAAGTTACCTTGATTCAAAATTCCAGTATTGGGTCCTGTTGTAAGGAAGTTGGAACCAAGAACAGCCTGGCTTCCTTGAAGCAAGGTGGTCGCTGGAGGTCTGGCTTCCCTGAAGACTGGTGGCTAGCCAGCGTGCATATAACCATCCATTCTAGCTGAGTGTTCAGACTCTTTCTGCAAAGATTGCTCTTTGCAAGAAGAGAAAAAGGACAGGGATGAGAAAAAAAAAACAGGAACTGGGTCAGTGATGACCTTTCTGTTGTACAGGCACATCTTGGAAACTTCTGACATCACTTTGGGCAACTGCCATCTGACTCAGGAGCTTTTGGACTTTTTCCACTGCACAGCAGACTCCTCTCTCTATCCCTGGATGAGGGTGAGCACAGAATAGGTGCTGGATGAGCACAGAATAGGTGCTCTCAGGAGGAAAAGGAATAGCTAAGACTCTCAAAAGTGATTTCTTTTGTCCCATTCATACAGGAATGTAAGATATGGAGCTAATAAACTTTCTGTGATGCTGGTGCCTTTCAAGTCTTCAGGGTAAAATAGTTTTTTGGATGGAGGCTGCTCTGCCCTAGAAACAGTGCAGATGGATAGGCTTAAGCTGTCGGGTAATAAATGAAAGGGAAGGCTTTACTAGCATATTAGCTCTCCTTTAGAAGAGGCAAATTAAAATTGGAAGGAGAAAAGGGCTGGTTATCGGTAATAACTCTCTTTCTTCGAATGTTTTGACCTCTTTTCCATCCTGTTTAGCCCTGATTTCTGGGGGTCAATAGGTATGATGGAGTGACCAGAAGGTGTGAGGTAACATGTGACTTCACTCACAGGCTCTCTCACTACTGATGAAAAGAAAATTAAATGGCTTTATGGTCATGTGGCTTGGCATATAGCTCCAGAAGTGGCTCCGTGGAGCTTTCTGCAAGAAATCCTTTTTATTTTTAAATCCCATGCTCTGGTTGCCCGTGTTTACATTGCTGGTATTGCTGTATGATGCAATGCCAGTTACTCATACAATTTGCCCTGTAAGGTAGTTTAAATCAAATTAAATTGGCACCAAACTTAAAACTTTAAAATAGAACATATTGATTTGTTCTGTGCCTGAGAAGTGCTCTGTTGCTGAAATGCAGAACAGACCTGGGCTTGGGGAGACGGAGGCATGTTTGTATGAGGTGGAATGGAAACCCAGGTTCTCCAGGACGTGCTTGGTGCGTGGACTTTGCAGCTTAAACACTTACCACTGTTCTTTCTATGCTGAATTCAGCCTGCAAGTGAAGAACAAGTTTCCAGGACCTTTGTCAGGGAATGCAGTTATTCTTGGGTGGGATTAGGATATCCAGAACTGCAGATTTCTCTTGCTGTCTGTTCCTTATTCTGGCTTGTTCCTTGTAAAATCCTTTTTTGTAAGGAGCTTCTTGCACTAATTTACTCCAGTTGCTGCTTAGTTTGAAAGGCCTGAGACTTGGGAGATGCACGCTGTCCCCTAGAGGGCTGGATCTCCCCCCTCTCTCCCACTGGGAGGTTGTTAATGTTTTAAGAATGAGTGAAAGGCATCCTTGGAGCCAACATGACTGGATTTCTTCCCTGCCTAAAGAATGCAGAACGTTCCTTTCCAGGCAAAGGGAAGTTGTGCCACATGTTTGAAACAAAACAAGCAAACATGAAACAAAACAAAACTTCATTTTCTTTATCTAAGGAATGCTGGGGCTTTAAGAGCTCAAAGCTACAAATTTGGCATATTGCAGCCATGAGTAGCGTCTTTCGCAGTCACCAAGCAGGTTTTAAAAAGTAGGCTGGTCAGGAGGCAGAGGGATGTAAAAAGCAGCCATGTCATTGCTTATCTCCATAAAATCACTTGGTCTTCTTTCTCAAAACTGGAAACTGAGTGAATTAAAAGTGAAGAGATTGGAACTTTTTCAAAAAACGAAGAACTGTGAGAATAAAAAAGGAGGAGGGGGGAGTTTGGGGGGGGGGGGGGGAGGGCAAATCTAAGTAGGGATACTGCTTCGTTTAGTGGTTGTTAACTGTTTTGGACACTGTGAGAGAGATGTTGATAGCATTTTTAAATCAACTGAATGAAGGAAATGGGAAAGGAGGCTTAGTTCTATAATCTGGGATTAAAAGATCATGCAAGTACAGGGTAAATATGGGCTGGATAAACTGTCAGTGCCAGTCATGAAGAGTCTTGAGTGGTATGAACTCCCTTTTTCTTTCATAAAGTCTCTTGTAGTGTGTAAAGTTCCAGGCCTGTTTTGAC